AGAATATGAGAATGAATACTTGTTTTGGAACTTTCAATTACCACCTGAAATAGGGAGATATTCTGGGTAATCGCTTGGAACCAGCTCTTTATCATTCCACAGGTCTGGTTGCTGCGCCCTGTGTGTTGTTAGGCTATGTGCCTGAGAAGCGCTTCCCTGCCACTTAGGAATACAGAACTGATGGCGTCTGAAGATGACCCTTAAGAATATCTTATAAATGATTAGGTCTGACATTTAATCTTGGCAGGAAACCATATGAGTCTGCAAATGCAAAGGTGGATGCATTTAAGCAATGTTTCTATTCAATAGTTAGATCTGCTCCATTAGATTCTAGTTTTAACATAAAGAAGGCAGAAAATGAAAGACACTTGTAATATCCCACCAAGAAAATTATGTGCACATTTCAAGAGGCACAGTGAGAACTGCCTGAGCTAAAACAAGAAAGTAATAGCTACATTATTCAAAAGTAAATTAATGTATACCTAATGGCCATGCATGCTGCCTACATATAATACTCTAAAAATCAAAAACAAAAACCAGAGAAAAGGAAAAGAAAAAAATATAATTGAGCAAATTGCATGTTAAGAATAAAAGGTAATCAGAGGTGGGAGAAATACGAGATACTGTGTAAGTCATCATTTGCAAAGCCACACTGTAAAGATTGGATAGAAGCAGGAGGATATAAAAATAAGAAAATCAAAGAGAATGAAAGGGAGATTGTACCACATATTAGGATAAAGGAGAATGTATCTGTTGGCTACTCAAAGGACAAGATAATAGTGAATGAAAGGGAGGCTGACTAGGAAATGGGAGAGTAATTTAATAAAACAGAAAGAGCCAAACTGAACCCACCAGGTAGCTCTTATCTGGTAGTGCTTAGCATTCATCCATGACACCCGTGCCCTGTCCTGAAATCACTCTTGACCACCACTCCCCGCAGATCAGGGGTGGCAAACCCACGGCACGAGTGCCACCATGTCATCACTGAAAGCTGTAAAAGTTTCTCCGTAACTGCCACACACGGTAGAGCATTTCTCACAATTCCTAATTTTGGGGGTCTGGGCGGGTAGTCTTGACAAAGGTGACTCTTAAGCTCAACTGCTGTGTAAAGAGACATGATTTCCAAAAACATGGTATGTTTTAGGTAATGTTCTGTTATGGGCTCTGAAATGTGTTAATTTGCCAAAACCCAAAGCTTACACATACACTTAACGAACTGTGTGGAGGAATGTCCTCTTCATTTTTTACATACTTTCTCAGTCTTCTTGAATGGCAGCCAAATAAAATAATATTTGGTATAGGCCAGATATAAAGCTGTAAGGCAATGAGTTTGTATTTTTTTCCCATTCCTTGTATGTGAAATCAGGTAAGTTGCTTAACCTTTCCATACCTTCACTTTCATGCCATCTATCTCTAAAGGCTGGAAAAGCAAATGAGGCAACAAAGTGTTGTAAACCCTCCCCGACCTGTGTATGGACCCAGGGCACAGCTGGGTCTGACTGTGACCCATCTTTCTCCCGGAGTGCTAATCCATCTTCCAGAGTGAGCCAGTGCTGTTGGTGCCAGGACCTCACGGCCCTTCCTACCCTGAGGTGTGGCTGAGAGAGGAAATTCTTTGTCTGAGCAGACCACATGTTGGCTCTGACGAGGTCAGGCCATCCTCCACTTCTCCTCCTGCCCTCGCTGGCCTGGAACTTGGTGTGCAATTGCAGGCCTTGTTTTGAATTACAATGAGGCCAGTCACTAGAATGCAGCCCTGCTGGGACCGGAAGTATTCATGCCTGGCTGTCCTGCCAAGCGCTCAGCTGCAGCTCTTGGGCAGCAGCTTCCTGTGAGACTCTGAGAAAAGCTCAGAAAGCTGCTCAGCTATCCACATTTGCTGGCAAGTACAGCACCAGGCATATGGTCAGTTTGAATGGCATTGGGAATCCTCCAGCAAGCTTTAGATCTTCAAGGGGAGAGTTGGTTTGATTGTCATTATATTGGCCAATCACCCAATATCTTTGACCCCCTACAATTTGCCAGGCACTGTGCCTGGCACTCTAAGGAGTAAGAGATAAGATATGGTCATAGCCCTCAAGGATAGAGATTAGTAACTATGACAAGACACATAACAGAGACACAGCCCACTGTAGTCTTAAATGGTGGTAGCGACAGCATGAATGTAAGAAAAGAGAGCTCAGTCTAGGACAGGCACGGAGGGCTTCACTGAGAAGGCAGGGCTGCACTGAGTCTTGCCTTGAAGGCTGGATTCATTTTGGAGAAGTGAACTTAAGAGTCAATGATATAAGCAGAATATTTTTCTAAGAAAAAAATGATAGGAAAGAATAAAATGAGGTTGGCAAGATTTGTTAGGAAAATTGTTGTCTAGTCATCTACTTAACCACGTGCAAAGAACATTTGCTGTAAGTGAGGAGTCAAACTGGGAGGAGGATCTAACTGATGACCAAGTGCTTCCCCTCCTGTTGGTTGAGGAGGGAGTCAATAAATAGGTAAGTCATGGGATTCCTCATTTTTCATTTTTTTATTTGCAATGTGGCACTTATAAATTGAGAAATTAGGTGACCACTTATTTAGTTTGAATACGTAAGTAATTGGCTTCAGTAATTTTCAAATGCATGACACTACTTATGAAGGAAACATTCTTGTGCAAGAAATGTGGAGAACTAGGTAGGAACCCTGGGAATGGCCACACTAAGAAGAGACACTTGAAATGAAAACCGATGGGTGATAAAGGTCACATATCTGGAAGAGTTAAGAAGAAATTCACTCCAGTAAAAGACAACACAATATGAGAAAAGTTTGGCATATTTAATATAGTGTTAAAAAACAGAGAGATTTATTGAATAGAGCCTTTTTTGTTTATCGTGTGTGTTGCAGGATTCTTGATATGTTAGTGCTGCAGTACTCATATAATTGGTGCTAAGAGTAAAATGTTTGTTAATGATGACTTTTACTCATTATAACATAAATATTATAGACCAGTAGGAGAAGACAAGATGATGAATATGGTCTCTATAATGTAGAATATAAGAGGCAATATATTAATACATAGCTATTTTTTAAAAATAGGATTGGAGTTATTAGTAAAAAATTGGTCAGCTTGATAGCATTAATATTTATGTAAATTATGATCATTTTGGAATATGGAAAAGATATTAGTAAAGCAAAACAAAATTTCAGTTCAAATTATAATGTTCATTTCTGTATAATAAGAGATACTGGTGCTGGTGATCTATTAATTCTTAAAATTTTGGAGCATGACCATATTGTAGATCAAGTTCCTTATTATAATGTCCCAAGATCTCTTAGTATAGGAATAATATCAGAGAATACAGTCAAGTTTAGACTAAAGATATACCGGAGGCAGTCCATACTGACAACATCTTAAGGCAGTTAACCTCAGTTATTTAAAAGTAAAATTTTAAAAAACTATATTGTGAGTGTGTGTGTGTGTGTCTATAAAGCTATTTGAGCAATATGAGTCATGAACGCAAATGTGTGCAAGGCGCGAAGTTTAAGGAAATTACTGTGACACACTTGTAACACCTATCACAAAAGAGCCTAATACATTTAGGAATTCCACACAGTTTACTTCCAAAAAGAATTTTTAAAAGTCTAAAAATAAAAATAAGCCCATTAATAATATTTTAGAAGAGTATTTATCGAACATTAAATAGATCAATTAATATTCTCCAAATCATTGTGTATGTACTATAACTGTAAAGAAGACTTCTAAGATTTTTTTTTCCCAGTGGCCTCTTCTCTTTGCAACCTTTTATTTGTTATGTTGACACTTGGGGGCTGAGAGATTAGGTGGTAAGAGTTGGACTTTATATTGTACCCTTCATGTAAAAATCTAGAAACTTTTCATGAATGAAACCTCTCGTTTCCCTCTGGGAAATCACAAAATACAGAGCAATTCCTGTAGTATCTCTTGTCATGTTCTGTGCTGACCAGACAGTTCTATTTAAAATCCACTTATGTATGTTAAAAATCAATTCTCTAGAAATATTCTGTTACAAGATTGTAGAGTATTAATTCACTGCCAACTTGGGCCTCATTCAAAATTATAGTGAGGCAGTTTGATTATCTGATTCATTATCCGTAGTTAGATTATCCACATTCTTTGGGTAATAAAGAAGTACTGTTGTTCACCTATGTAAATACACCTATGTTTAAGTACTCTAAATCTTGCAGAATCTTTTAAAAAACATATTACATGCACCATTTATACTTGACTATGCTCTCTCTTAACTATGAGCACATCAAATGCGCTGTGTTGTGTCAAATGGTATTTTCAGCATGAACAAAAATGAATATGAGGATATTCTTTGGACGATGAGGCTATTTGGGGGTTCTGTTTTATTTTGTTGACAATTGTATGTGTTCGATGATTAATGGACATATTTATGGTGATATTATATGGGAAAGTCAGCATTTATTCTCAATGTTTTACTGGCATCTTTGAAAAGTTTTAAGACAAGCATTTACTACTGAATAGCTCAGCACTTCCCCCTCTTTGTTTCTTTAATTAACGTATTGATCCAAACTGAATCTATAGGACCAAGATTATTGAGACAGACTGCCTGTTCCTCCCTCTGGAGATCATTGCTGCACTCCACATGTTTTCAGTAAATAAAATATGGACAAAACTGCAACATGTGGAGGCTGAAGATTTCATTAAAGACTTCGGGCAATAGTACCTTAAAGATATTTCACAAAGAGTTGTGTTTTATCACTTCTCCTGTACTATTCCGTATAATAAGGAGTTTAAGAGGACCAAATACAGCTCTCTGATTTCCATTTAATGGAAAAAGTAATAAAGTTTAATTGTATACTTGAGCACGGGGCATCATTTCCAGTACATTCAATCAATAATTCATTGATTGCTTTTGGCTCAAAGGAAAATTTGAAAGAAAATGTAACCAGTGGGAGCTTATATAGCTGTAGCCTCATCATCTCTATTAATTATGTTTTTCCCAAATTTGGATCATTAGGCTACCAAAGTGACAGCAGATGGCAAGCAAACGGGACAGGATGCTGAAAGGACGAACACAAGAGCAAAGTCCTTAGGAGAATTCGTTAAGGAGCTTGCCCGGGATGCAGAAGGTATTAGAAAAATCACATTCTAATCATTATTTCTCCCAACAGAAAACTAGAGAAAGACATTACACAGAGCTGGAATTTCTCTCCTAAGAGGTGACATTTCTAAATTCGAGGGTTGAGTATTTAAAGTGTATCTTGGTTGAGATATTCAATGGATTTATCCACTGAGAACCCATGACTTTCAGTGTTCAATGAATGACAACAGTTGGTGAATGACCAATGATAAATACAGAATGGCAGTGGATTTTTGAGGGGTGCCTATTATACTTAAGTGGGAAACCTATGCTTTACTACTTTTTGTATTTAAAACTATTTAAAATATTTTTAATTTTTTAAAAGCCAATTTTATGACTCCACTCAGCACAAAAAAAGCAGCACCTTAATTTCTCAAAATGGCCTTTCAGATCCTTGGTGTTTTAATGAACATCTGTTGCTTGGGACTTGGAAGTGCTGCTTCATCCGCAGTTTCTGAGGAGTCCGTTCTGGGCATCTGATGATATGGTTGAAGATTAAAGTGGAATCCAGTTTTGAGCAAAAGCCTAGATAGAAACTCTCACTGCCACAGATGATGCCCCCTCTCACACACACACAAAAAGTCGCTCTTAAGTATCTATCTGCCAATGCGTAATAAACATACATGCATGTGAAGAAATTAGAAAGCAGGCTTTTTCTCATTTAAAAATAAAACACTTACTCGTTTGCAGTGTTATGCATTTTAGATATTTTACTTTGTAATGTAGTCAAATAAAAAAGGACCTGACCCTCAAAAAGATCCTGACTAGTAATTTTTAAACATCACTGGCCAAGAAGAGACTGAAACTCCCAAAGATTCCTCAATGCAAAAAACAACAGAGTTTAATCAGAAGCATAATCTCAGGCAAAACGTGTCAAGATCTGAAAGAGAAGTTATGTCTAGAAAACTCGCAGTTAACTCATTGTGGGGGTTTTTTCCTCTGCTAAATGAAGTTATTGTGCTTTCTCTGCTATTATTTTCCAGTAATGCTGCTGGAAAATAAAGCTTCCTTCGCCCTCTAAAACACCACAACCACAACTGACAGCATCCCATCCATTCCTTCCCTTGAACTCTGAAACACTCGATACCCAACAGCCTGGCCGAGTGACTCTTCCTGAAATGATTTCAGTTAAATATTGGTGCATGAGGACAAAATGCTAATATAGGCGTTACTACATTCCAGGGTTGGCACTGCTTACTTGCTTCTCTGCATTGAGCCTTCCTCTCCCGACATGGATTCGTGGTGACTCCTTTTGTTGATGGGAATTTTGTGTTTTGGGTGCCTAAGGCCTCTGGGTAGCATTGTGCAGTTTGCCCACCACACAATGGCAGCAATGTGGGCAGAGCAGAGATGATATTTACCCCAGGCTTTGCTTAGTGTCCATATTCTCTGGTCCATACACCAGACAAAACGGTTACCTTTTCACCGACGGTCGATTTCCTAAGGTGTGTGTTGCTCAGGTGGCCTGATTGCATCTATCTAGATGCGCATCTTTTTTTTACCCATGTGAAATGGCATGTGTGATAGCTGTGCCTGACAGAAATAGAAACACCAGTCACTTTGCAGGCAGCCACTATTTGGCAGCAAGCACGCACTTGCTAATATTGAAAGTTCAAATGTAAACATACCTGAGATACACTAGATTCTCAGTTGGACTACAAGGGTTGGCAGATTAGGCTACAGGAGAGAAGAGAGGAAGGTAAAGAAAGGAAGGAAAAAAAGGAGGAAATGAGAGGGAGAAGGAGGGAGGAAGACAGAGGGGAGGAGAAAAGTCACCAAAAGCTTTGAATAGGTTATTTGCCTCTCTCTCTCTCTCTCTCTCTCTCTCTCTCTCTTTCTCTCTTTCTCTCTCTCTCCCCCTCTCTCCCTCTCTCTTGGCCTGAGAGTAGTCATGTATACTTTCATATATTATTAGTGGTAATAAATTGCTGTGGAAAAGTGAACACTTCACCCTGATATTTGTCTGTTGCAGTTCTATGTTTAGATAGAAAGAATGCCAATCCTATCTTCCCTTAGAAGTCATGACTTTGTAGGAAATCACCTTCTATTCATCTAAGGTATTCTTAGCTCACTATAATTTTATAATATCTACTCTGCTATGACTCTGGGTTAGATGATGAATACGCTATGTTTTACTCTATGCATTATTAGTATTAATGAGATGTGGACCAACCCCATTAATGCTTACACCCTGGCATAGGATAAGAATTAATGCTAGGGGTCTTTCTTTGCTGTCTCAGGTCAGAGTAGCATTTTTCATTTTTTTTGTCTTTTATTTTTATTTTATTGGTACATTTTAAGTATACAATATAATGACATTCATCTTTGGAAATTTGCATTTTCCATTCTTGATAAATGTACCTATCAAAGGATTTTTTTCTCAGGTTTAATATAAAAGAACCTTTTTTGCAACTTTTGAGGAATTAGTTCATTTGTATTTTGTGGGTCCCCCATGCCTTCTAAGACCCCCCATGCTTCTCCAGTGCCATTTTTTCAGAGGGGTCTGACCCGCCGGAGGAACTTCCTCCATGCCTTTCCTTGTAGTAATACTTTCTGTGACTCACATTGATTTTCTCTTTTACCTCTACTTGGTTTTATGTTAATTTTATCTTATTTTAAAGCTATTTTTAAATGGCTTAAATCCCTCTATTGAAGAAGATAGAAATAAATAAGCAAATTCAAAGGATATATTTATTTTATAATTATTTTTAATACTCTGGAAAACATATTGAAGTGAGAATGTATACATTTGAAGAAATTTCAATCTCACATATTCAGCAGAGCAATAAACTTCTAGTAAGATGATACTTTGTTTTTTAATACAGTGCCATTCTGCTAAAGTCTTATTTGTGTACACTATTAATTTCTTCATTTACTATTGTTTTAACTTAAAGGAAATGACACGTGCATCCCAAAAGATGCAGCCAAATTTGCCTTTACCTTCCTCTCTTGTGTTACACATTTCCCACTAAATTCTTCTCTGCCTAAGTTTAGCTTTGAGAATTAACCACAAAGAAGCAGTGAAATTCTATCTCATGTTCCTCCTGCTTGAGTCATGGACCTAAGTGGAATTAAATTTCAAAATAAAATCCCATATCAAAATATATTTTATTATTTATACATTCATTTCATAAAGGAAAATGTGGCTTTGGCAAGCTCAGAATTAGGATTTATCACTATAATTTTCTAAAAAGTTAACACAAATGGTATCTGTAGTTCCATGGTACAATTGGCTTAAATCAACTGTACCAACTGCTGTGCACTCAGACAAAGGAGGTAACTTATGTCATAAATGCAGCCAAATCTATGACAGACACTACTTTTCTTAAAATCTTAAAAGCAGAAAGCTTCTTAAATTTAATCATTGGCACTGTGACGCAGTCTGACGAATCAGGGAGGGGCTTTAAGGTTCACCCATGGTCACTAGTGCCATAACACAGATGACACAGCCCAGGTGACACCTTGCTAACAGTAACGGGGGAAACTTCTGAAGGCCTCTTGGCATGCATTAAGCTACAACTATTAAGGAGTAAACCAAGAAATGATCACTCTCGCTCCTAGTAATAGAGCACCTCAGCAATATTTCTACCACAGGGCTAGGGAATGGCCATATGTGATTCTTAAAACATGTGATTCTGATTTTTCTGAAATTGATCTATTTCTAAGTAGTTTGGGGATAGTATAACCAAATATTATAGACTTACTGGCTTATGAACAACAGAAATTTATTTCTTGCCCTTCGGGAAGACTGTGGCAAGATTGTGGCCCCCCACATACTGGGGAGGGGCTACTTCCTGGTTCCCAAATGACTATCTTCTTGCTGTAAGCTCACATGGTGGAAGGCCCAAGGGAATTCTCTGCATCTCCTGTATAAGGAGTCCTCTTCTCTAAGGCCCCAACACTGAATACTATCCCACTCAGAATTAGGTTTCAACATAAGAATTTGGGGTGATAACCAAAATTTAGTCTGTGGCGATGGCTAAGTGGAATGAGGTTCCCATTACACAAAACAATTTCTTACCAAAGACATTTAAAAGGCAAAGGGGATTATAAAGATGCATTTTGGGAATGGTAGATTAGAGATTGAAACTCAACTCCTTCTCCTATCCTAGGATTCCTCACGCTTCAACATGTGTCAAAAGTTCCTAGAGGGCTTGTTTAAAATGCCAGCCTGCTGGTACCCTGCATCTAGAATTTCTGACTCAGTAGGTCTGAGGAAAGCCGGAAATCTGCATTTCTAACAAATTTGAAGGTGATTCTACTGCTGCCTGATGAGGACCACAATTCGAGACCTCTGTATGGACACCACTTCCCACTCCACGCTGGCTGAATGCTTGGGCTGGCTAGGAGATGTTTCCTACCATTGAAAGGGGTATCTGAAGGCTTCTTTCAGACAAACTAAATTCTGAGCATTCATTTTTGGAAAGATATTTCTGATTTGCACTGAGTGTTCAAGATTTATTATTTCCTAAAGAAGTCTTCAGGTGTTCCTTTCAATGGTAGGAAACATTTCTTAGTCAACTCAGAGTGCTCATTCTGGGGCTTTTTGTAGGAATATTATAGAAATGAGTATTCAGCAGACAAAAGATTTCGAGAAAATACCTCCCTTCAACTTGCCAAATTGATGTTCCATAAAACACATTTCTGGAAACTTTAGTCTAAAATTAATGGTAAGAATTGTGTAACTGTTCCAATTCACCAATTTTTTAAACTTTTATTTGACATAGCATTTTTTTTCCAGATGAAATCTTGCCCAGAGCACCAACCTACAAAACGGATTCCTGGCAGAATAGACATCATTTGTAGAATACCTGAAGTACCTGGAGAATCCTAATACTCCAAAGAGCACAGCTTGAAGCCCCGTTTAATGCATAATAAACATAGACTCCTAGGATGGATGTTGCCACTGGCAGGGATCTTTGAGGACTAATCTATAACTCTAATCAAAAGAGCAGTGGTCCTTTCCTCACTCCTTTCAAAAACAACAACAACAAATATAAGAGAACTCTGTGGAAACACAGAGCAGGTTCATGTTCATAGATCATATTGCTAGTAGCCTCTCCATTCTCAGTGTTTTAAATCTGCCTCAATATGACTGCCTCAGCAGCAGTGCAGATCTTGATTTTTCCATTCTCAAGTGCCATACTACCCATCTCATTTCTACTTCATACCTGAAGAGGCTTTGGCCTACTTTGTTTTCCTTCCTCTTCAGGTTGAAAACACTATACTTTAATTAGCCTCCACAAGAAATCGAATGTGGAGAACAATGCCACATTCCCATCATGGATACTGACTGTCCTCGTACTTGCCTCTCTATTTCCCAGCAGGAACACCACTGGCAAATTACATTTCTTTCGGAGATGGTGGTAAAGAGCAGATGTTGAATGCCATTTTTGCCTGTGACACTTTTGTTTACTCATTTACAAAAATTTGCTTTATCCCTTACAGGTGTAAATGAAAAAGCTGTAAAATTAAATGAAACTCTAGGAACTCAAGACAAGGCCTTTGAGAGAAATCTGCAAGAGCTTCAGAAAGAGATTGATCAGATGATAAATGAACTGAGAAGGAAAAATCTAAATGCACAAAAGGAAGCTGCAGAAGATGAGTTAGTGTGAGTAAATCCACTGGTATTTTTCATTGGATAAACTGAGCTTTGGACATTTCTTACAGTTTTCTACATTCCCATCACCTGTGTGCAGAAGTACTTTGTTTTTCTGATATGGAGAGGTTTTCTGTTTCTTTATCTTTCATTTACTTAATTATACCTTACCTTGCTCTAAAATGAATTAAAGTATAGTTTTTCCTATATAAAAATAGTCATCTAAATGATTGTTTTGGTAGTTTCTTTTCTATAATTAGCCCAATGGGCTTGCTATATTAATTACTTGTATCAGGGACTTTTAAACTCTCAGATTTTTGTTTTAATAAGACCACTTTAGGGTAAATAAAGCTATTACTTCACCAGCTCAGCCTATACATTATTACTTTAGGAAATATAAGAAAGTTAAACTCAAGGAACTCCCAGATCATTCAGTTGGAAAAAAAAAGACAAATAGATCAAAAAATGTTATTATACTAGCAAGGAAAAAATATAGAGCTCTGTGACCAGTTTCTCAGCAAATATGTCAATATTCATCTCTTACATCAAAGTCATGGAGAAAATGTCTCATTTTGGTGAAAGAAGTGGCTCTTTTGTTTTGTTTTATAATGTGAAGTGAATCACAAAACTCATTTCATCTATCACATTAGGAAAGTGACATGAATGCCTTTTGATTAACAGTGCTATAATAATTTTAAAAGATGGGAAATCTTGCATTAATTTAAATTAAAAAGTTTGCCCCTTTCAGAAACCAGTTTTCAACTTGATTTACTACATAGTGAAGCTGCTTTGCCTGTTTCTTTTTGCAGTATTTAAACTTTTTTGTATTAGCATCTCTTTGGAGCACAGTTGAGTATCAGTAACCCGAGGTGATAACGCTCACTTCTGTGCTTGGGCTGGGCATTTGCAGAGCTTCGGAGGGCCTGCTGATGAAAGTTAACAAGCTGTTTGGAGAGTCCAGGGGCAAAAATGAAAGAATGGAAAAAGATCTCCGGGAGAAGCTGGCTGACTACAACAACAAACTTGATGACGCTTGGGACCTGTTGAGAGAAGCCACAGATAAAATCCGAGAAGCAAATCGCTTATCTGCGGCCAATCAAAACAACATGACTGCTCTGGAGGTGAGTGTCCCGCGAATATTCATCGGTCTCAGGAAGAGGACGTAGTCTCCGGAATAGGAAGTACTCCTCCAGAACAGGAAGTAGGGTTGAACACAGCCTGACAGTCAGATTAATACCCATTTACAGAGGCTAAGAAGGTCAACTCTGAAGGGAGCCTTCTCAGATACAGAATAGAGAATGCATATATCCTTAATCACCACTTCCCACTGAGTCACATAAAATCTAGATAATTTAGATTATTGAAGATTTTAAAAGATAGTAGTGGATAGTGGCTGAACCTTTCCTAGAAGTTAGGGGACTTTAGTCTCCTGTTCCACTGACTTAAGTCTGGTCAGACCAGTCACTGACCATTTCTAAGCATCACTTCCTCAACTCTGCAATGAGTGCATTAGACTGAAATGTATCTATGGGATTTTCAAGTCTTGATATCATATGATTTTGTAATTCACCCAACCTAATCCATAAACCTGGGTCAGAGATCTGGTTGCCAAAAGTCATGGAAGTTCCCTTCATTTTCAGTAGAATCTGAGCAAGAATGAAATAGTTCATTGAGAGAGGAAAGTGTTTGAAGACAATGGCTCCCTTTTGTTATTGTAATGTTTTATGCAAATGATATCTTGAAAAGGACTAACAGGAACAAATCCAGGTCTGGGTTATTTTTGCCTCTTTTCTTGCAAGAGATCAAGAAATTATGGGCAGCCTTGTTGCCAAGGCTTTTAGATGCTAGTAGGACTGAAACAGATACTTCCATCACTTTTTCTTTCTGTTTTTTCAATTTCTTCTTTATTGTTAACATGGTAAATGATTACTTTTCATAAAACTACCTTCAATACATATACTGGCAAGAACCTTATCTCATATTTAAACAAAGAATCTTTCTCTCCCAAGCAAACCAGTCTTTTTGAAGTCTCTTACCCCGACAGACCTGAAAGCAGCAGAAGTCTTTCTCTCTCCTAAGGGGTAATTTTACCCCTGACCATAGCTCAGCAGTCTGGCCTAGTGTATGCTCTCAGAAATGTTTGCTGAGTGATAATAGTGGTTGAGTAAAATGAAACTGGATTTTTAAATCTACTTGTTTCTCTCTATTTTCCTTTGGACTAAGTAAGAGAATACATTAAATGTTTTGAAATGCTTTTTTATCCCTGAGTCTTTCTGCTGGGATTTTAGCCTTATCATTTTGGTTGAAGATGGGAAAGGCTCCATTTTCTTGTAAATGATATATCTAATCTTAGCCAATTTCAAGTCTATGGATGCACTAGCAGTACTGGAGAGAAAGCACCATTTGGAGAGGTGGGAGATGGTGACTGTGCCCTCACAGATGCCAGCATGATTCATCCCACCTGTGGTGCAGCTTACCTGGAGGGGCACCGCTCCATTTTATTACAGCAGTTTCAGAAATTAACATTACCTGTGTGGGAAGCATAATGTGCACCTGGGAAGTATGTCATGAAGAATTGCAGTGGCAGAGTAAACAGTGCTTTTAGCCATTCCTTCCTTTCAGTGATGTTTAAAGCCCAGAATCCTCATTCCTGGGCACCCCATGATGCCTGAAACTTCTGTAGTCAGCACTGAAGTTCTTTTGGTCTTTTCATTTTGTATGTCTTGCTTAACTAAAAGCGTGCTTAAAATTTACTGGGTAGGATAAATAACTAACTACAGCAACATGAGTAAAGCACAGATTATTTAAGTTTGCTAGGTCCACCAAGGTTGCCTTTAAAAAAAGATTGCCTGGATTTTTTTAAACAAACACGTTCTGTGGGTTCACACAGACTGACCTGGCTGGTTGGGGGTTTGTCCTGGTATCCATAGCTTTAGACTCCCTGGGTTCATTGATATCCATGCTATTTTAAGAACAATAGCTTTATTTTGCACACTGGGATACATAATGAACTGTTTTTAAAATAAAGCTCCATTGTTGTACCAGTGCCTACATTGCCCATGAGATAATTAAGACTGACCTCATACTTTTTATTTAAGGTACTAAGCATGTAACTTTTATTTATTATTAAAAATTTGTGTCAAGCCCCTATTACATTCAGAAAGTGTGCTGAAAACAAATTTGATTATTTCAGACCCTGGTTGTCATGTGTGGTTCTTGCAATGGCAGTCTGAACATCACCTAGAAACTTGTCTAAAATCGAGCTTCCCAGGCCTCACTGGAAACCTCTCAACTCAGAAACTCTGAGAGATCAGGCAACCTGGATTTTACAAAGCCCCTCCAGGGATTCTGAGAAGCCTTATGTTTGAGAACCACTGATTCAGTATGAATTAAGCAGTCTCTGATGACTTTAAGTGACTTGTATCTAGGGAGAGGTTCACATCAGCAAAGCACTTTTTACACTGCAGTGGTTAACACGGAGGTAGGAAAAGGACTTAAGTGAAGGTAATCACCTCTGGTCCCAAAAGGGCTTCCTAGAGGCCCTGACACTTGTGCTAGTCCCCAAAGGCTAAGCACTAGTTAGTAAGAACATAAAAGAAGGAACACCAGGCTGGGGATGTAGGTCATTGGCACCGTGCCTGCCTGGCAAGTGCAAAGTCCTGAGTTTGATCCCCAGTACCAGAAAAAAGAAAGAAAGAAAGGAAGAAAGAAAGAAAGAACATTCCAGAAACATGGAGAAGGATATGTAAAGATAAGAAGAAAAAAGGTAAGACATTTGAGAGAAAATTGAGTGATTGCCTGAATTGGCATGAAGACTGCAAAAGCACAAGTGGACCGATAGCAGCAGATACAGACAGGGCCCAGACTTCGAGGGATAAGAAGATTACATTGTGCAGCTAAGCTAAGGAATTTGATTTTTACCCTGAAAACTACAGCAAGCAATTGAAATACAGAATCATAGACTAAAATTGCATTTGGAGGAATTTATGCATAGTTCATGTAAACTGGGGAATTGGCTTTGTATTGGAAAGTAGTGTGACTTTAGGCTAGGCAAGTAGGCTGAGATAATACTGAAATGTATTCTAGGCAACTATTGCATCAAGATGCTATTAATAACCAGAGTATGAGGTTGGGTAGGAATAATTCCTGGCTTCAGAGAACTTATAACCTCCTGAAAAATTCAAACATTTCAATCTTTCATTGAATGTAATAATTTGATTCATATTTTCTGAGAAAATCAGTAAAACATTTACAAAAACTATCACATCACACAAGAATTGAGAGAAATTGCAAGAAAGGAGAGAACAGCATGAGGATGAACACAAACCTCTAAAAGTGTAAGGTAACTTTAGGAAATGTCAGCGCAGGCTAGTTCATTCGTAAGCTATGTAAAATTCTGCAGCAGAAGATGGCTCTGGAAACAGCATTTGGAGCCAGAGTAGAGAAGACTTAGAAAACCATTTCCAGTAATGGAGAGAAAACTGGGGACCTGGTGGGCAAAAAGAGATGAGATTAGGCCCACGCAAAACATGGGTATTGAACCATCTGTTGCCAAGTCTACCCTCATAACCTTGCTAAAGAAGAGGTGGCAAAGAAAGAGAAGGGTAAGTTGCTAAAGGATAGACAGGAAGAACCTTTCTGCAGGTTCCTGAAGAATCCACCTTTCCCCAGCTACAACAAATAAAAAGAGAATGTTCAACTTTTAGCACTCTGGAATGGATTAAGGTCTAATTAATTAGAGGTTACAAGCAGAAATATAATCAACCTTGATATCCAAAGAGAATGATTTAACAATTATGTTTGTGGTATATTTTGAAGAATAATTCTCTCTGTACATGAGCCTTCTTATTTGTTCCTCAAATACTCTAAGCTTCCTATCTGAAGTATTTTATATACCATGTCATTCTCTATCCATTTCCTCTTTAAATTCATTTTTATAGCACTTGTTTCAACATTACCTAAAATATGCATTCATTCATTTATTCATTTTCTCCTCCCTCCTCTTCCTCTTCCCCCAGAGAAGGCACAGTGAACAGGCCTTCTTTGCAGCTATCCCCAAAGCCTAAAATAGTGTCTGGAAAAAAGACAAAATAGGCCGGGGATTTAGCTCAGTGGTTTCGCCACAAGGACCCAAGTTTGATCCCTGGTACCAAAAAAAAAAAAAAAGATAAAATAGACATCTTTGATGCAAAAGTAAAATATCACACAGGAAACACAAATAAATATTATCTCTATGCTTTCATCAATATTTGGGAATTCCAAATCTCCATCTTTTCTTGTTTCATAGCTAGAGTCCACCAGTGTCTAATCAGAAATTAGACACCTCTAAAATCTCTTTACTCTTAGATCATTATTTCTACTTTAGTATGATAAAAAACACATTTTGATCTTTCCATGACAATGAACCCCCTAAAGTGACTCAGAGCTTTCTAAGAGATACCTCACTAGTTTATGGAAAGCAAAGTGGACTTAGCTCTTCACTTAACAGACATGTGAAAATATTTTCCTCCTTCCCATTGGTACAGTATTTTATTTTATTTTATTTTATTTTATTTTATTTTATTTTATTTTTGCAATGCTAGGGATCCAACCCAGGGCCTTGCATATGCTAGACAAGTGCTCTGAGCTACATGCTCAGCTATGCTAAAGAATTTTACATTACTCTGCTTCATTCGTACAAACAAGCCATGTTGGAGGAAACAAATGAAAAAAGACTCCAGAATTTCTGTCCATAATAGAACTTTAAATTAGTGCATACAAAAGTTAAGGCTACAGTTAGCAGCGGTGTAAAAGAATATCAGACCTTTCGAAGAAAAGCTATGACTTGAAATCTGGAACAATGGGTGCCCCTACACTTGTGGGGAAGAAGACGTAAGCCAATCAAAACTTCGTCTGAATTAGCCAGAGACAATAAGAGGGGTCAGGGAGCCACACGTCACCAGCACAAGCACCAGGGACGGACATCATATTCACTCAAAACTATTTCTTGAGGAAACTCTTCTAGTTACTAGCGTTACAGAGATATAAGACCACTTTTGTGGAATTTAATTGGAATGAGGGGATACTAACACAGTAAACAGGCATGTGATATGGCCAGAAAATCTGGAAGGGCGTGTTGACTTACGGGAGACGGGATTTCTTGGTACATAATATATGGTCTGCTCCATGGTATCGCATGTTACAGTCCACGTAGTGTCTGCCCTTCTTCTGCGGCATAGAGCTCAGGGGCTACGCCTTTCCACTGGTCTCACTCTGTGTTCATTCAGTTGTCTGTGCTGGTAGAAATTCCAGAAGAAGTAATCAAAACGATTCAGTCTATACATATATTTTTAAATTCCATTTTCTATGTTTCTAAAATTTATGGAGTCCCTATAGCAGTGATGGTGAGCCTCGGAGTACTTTCAATGATAACAAGCAGCCAGCTGCCTTATGTGTGCCATAGGTTTGCCACCACTGGATATTCATATTCCTATAGAATATAATTCAGATGAGTCAGTGCTAGAAGCAAGAACACTGTAATTACCACAATAGTTAACAATGAAGTAGTGTTAGTGTGTGCCAGGCAGTGTTCTAAGCCAAATCTTCTCTACTTTTACTGGGCATATCAGTCACCTGAGGTTCTTATTGAAATGCAGATTCTGAGTGAGTAGTTCCCCGGAAGGACTGAGAGTGTGGATTTCTAACAAGCTTCAGAGTGAGTGGTGGGTGTGGTGTTGGGAAAAGGGCCACCCTTCATGTAGGGAGGAAGTAATCATTTTCCATGATGCTCAGTTACTTGGTTAAGACTTCACAGATTTCAGAGCCCAGGTTCCACCCCAGCAGGCTGTGACTTGATTCAGCTTTTAATCCCTGTGCCCTCCACATAGAGAATGACTGGGATGTGGGCAGGTGCTATAGACAGATGATCAGGGAAGTGACCTGACTGTGAGCGGAGCAAGGAGGACGGAACCAAGTCGGAGAGCTGCAGAAGAGCATAGGGAAGTGGAAACTGCAGGTTCCACACTCAGAGGCAGTGGGGTCCGCATCCCCACCAACTCCTCAAAGTGCTTGGTGAAGAGATTGGGAAAGGAAAGTATGCAATGAGCACTATCCCAGTGCACATAAGAAATGTGATTTCTATGATAGGAAAGACAGTCCCTTTGTAGTCTAGGACCCAAGATCTATCTTTAGGTAGAATGGGTTCAATTCTTGACTGCACTACACTAACTGTATGACATTGGATACATCAATGTAGCGGTTCACATGGGCCGCTGTAACAAAATACCAAAAATCTGGTGGCTTGTAAACAAAACAAAAACTTATTTTCAACAGTTCTGGAAGCTTGGAAACCCAAGGTAAAGGAGCTGGAAAATTGCTATCTGTTGAGGTACTGCTTTCTGGCTCACGAACACCATCATTTTGCTTTTCCTCGCATGGAAGAAGGGTGAACAAGCTCGCTCACATCTCCCTCATGATGGCACTGATTCCATTTATGAGTTTTCTGCCCATGGTCTCCCCATCTTCCAAAGGTCCCACTTTCTAGTACTAACACATTGGAGGTTAGGATTTCTATGCACAAATTTTGGGGGACACAAACATTCAGACCATATCATTTGCTCACTGTGCTACTTATTTAAAAGGTGACCAAGACCAGACAGAGAGAATTAGAATTAAAAGAAAAAAGCTTATAAACTGTCTGGCACATGCTGGGACCTGAATAAATATAAAGTACCGTCATTATATATGGAAAAAACATAAATGGCCAAAGCTTAAATTTTAATTGATATAGTTAAACTTCTAGGTAAAACTTTGACTAAAAGAACATGAACATACCAGAGTGCAAAGAAAATAACACACAGAGGTGTGCTCCAAAGGGAGAAATGGCAGTACTGCTCTCTCACTGACTTTCTTCTTCTAAGCCAGGACTGAGTTTCAGGTAGTTTTGAGACAACCTATAAGTTACAAACAAAAGTTAGATTCTGCTCTCTTATGAAACAGTCCATTAGGTTTATCCTTATGTTTCTCTTTTGCTTGGAAAGTATTTCCCTTGAATTCCCTTAAAAATCCTACTTCTTTGAATTTTAGAGAATCTCTGTAGAATAAATGTGCTTATGTTTAGGCTTTTAAAGTAGTCATTTGTATATAGATTCTAGAATTCCATATGCAATTCCAGTGTAATTCAGTTACTACTGAGTGTTCAGGAATACATATTCAGCACTTACATTGTAGTTAAACATGGTTGCTCTAGCTTGCTTTGAAAATAATTTTAATTGCTTAGCTAATCTCACATTACTTTTCTTTGCTTGGATGACTTTCTCAAGTGGGAAGAAGAAATTACCTATATGGGCTCAAAATAGAACAAGTTTTGGAGGACTAGCTGAGTAGTTCATATCATTCTCACCTAGCCACATTGCCAACACTAAGTACTTTGTTTGCAGAGCTGTTCGGACAATTCAGTAGACAGTAAAACAAAGCTGGTTAGGGTTTTACTCACATAGCATTGTGATGTCTTGTTCCTCCTGTACTACAGAAAAAGAAGGAGGCTGTTGAAAGTGGCAAACGACAAATTGAAAACACTTTAAAAGAGGGTAATGACATACTTGGTGAAGCCAACCGACTTGCAGATGAAATCAACTCAGTCATAGAGGTGAGCATTTCCTAAAACTCTAAAGAGAGATGACACTGCCATAGATTCTCATAAATTGGAGAGAAGGAGAGATCTCAGTAATATAAGCAAATACTGATATGTGTTCTCTTGTGGTGGTAAAAGTTTTTGTGCTATTCTACTATTCCCGTGCCCACATATTGATAACAATTAGAATTTCATGTTGTTTTCCCAACAGACACGTATGTTTGCATAAGGGTCATCGCACACTCACATGACCTGGGCATTACTTTTTCACGGTGATGAGGAGCTTTCCTTGTTCCTAGAGCAGCACTTCCAATCTGTTTAAGCATTAAGTAACATTAGTTAAAATAGAAATGTAAACCTACAAGCAGCCTTTTAATATACTGTCTAATGCACAACACAGTGATATATAATAGTAGCAATGCAATGTTCTAAAAGATCCTAATGATGTGTCATTTATACACTTATAGCTATAAAGTAAAACTTTTTAAAAAGATAGATCCTCCTTGGTACACATTGGTTTCATAAAGTTCCTAGTGTTTTTTATTTAATAGCAGCTTTTATTCACTATGCACTTTTTGCTATGCTATTAAAGTTTAAGTTTTATGAAAATACTAAGTACATGAGTTATGTCCCAGAGAAATTAGTAAATTCAAAGAGCTTAGATTCACTTGCTTAAAATGCTATCTCTTCTGTGTACATATCAGTATGTTGAAGACATTCAGACTAAATTGCCTGCGATGTCAGAGGAGCTGAAGGACAAAACAGATGAGCTCTCCCAAAAAATCAAGGGCAGGAAGCTCGCTGAGAAGGTTTCCCGAGCTGAGAGCCATGCAGCACAGCTGAATGACTCCTCTGCTGTCCTTGACGGGTATGTCATTTGTTGTTGGAAATGTCCACGGATCTTGACACTCATTTGAAAGTTTTGACGGGCATAAAGGGTAGAGAATCACTTTCAAATCTTGATTTCTATAATTACAAACAAAAGAACGACATGGCCTTTCTATGGAGGATCCTAATTAGGAGAGTGTTGGCAAAGTTCCTCTGGAGAAGTATCAAAAGTCTGAGTTAAAAGTGGATTCAAATATGGCTTGTTAGGAAGTCAACACAGCCTTAGGCTACACTTAGAAAATGATTTTTTGTTCTTTATTAGAAAGCACAGCAGTTACCTCATTAGCATTTTAAATAATAATATATAAGCACACATTCTGCTTCAAATTTCAGTTATATTTCTAATGGAATCAAAACAGTTTATTGTTAAAAGATGCCTTTTGAAAACGTGCCCCTCTACATAGCCTTTCAATCTGTTTTTCTCCCTCTTTAAAACTGCAGGGAGGTACTATATCCTCTCCTGTGGAGTAACTTCTGACTACAGCTGCTCCATATAGCATGTGGGTCAGAAGAGAAAAGGGCAGGAGGGAAGAGGTGTGTGACTTATAAATAGCCCTCTAGGTACAAATGATATGTTGTCCTGCAGTTTTGTGATTGACATAATCAATACGATAGCTATTAGCTCCAAGAAAAATTTTCTCAAATGAATCTCATTTAAAATACATCACATGGAGGACTTCGTTTCCTCACTTAATGCTCATTAATACAAAGCAAAATATCATTGTTTGAAAGCCCTAGACATTACATGTACAATTCATTTATATCAGACTTTTGCCAATTTAGAGTGATGGCTGATAGATGGAACACTAAGCCAGGAGTCAGTAGAGCTGGGTTCTAAATCCTCAGTCAGGGTTGTGTTAGTCCCATGACCCGAGGTGTGCCATTCAACATTCTGAGATTTGTTTATCTTCCTCTGGGAAGTGCACCTACCCCAGAGAGATTTTGCAAAATTCATTCAATGCGGTATCAGTGCTCTGCAACTGATTGCATCTTGCAAAAATAATCTGAAAGGTCACACGTGCCTGGTACCCATGCTGCTGAGGTTTCTAGAGGGCACTATGGATGTTGACGTTGTATCGGTAGGATTTCATAGCTGAATTGTTTGGAAATATGTGTTTAAATTAAAAATTATAACACAATACCTTTCAGTAAATACTCACTCTGATTTGGAATTTTCATATTGGCCATGATCTTTTGGAAGCCATGCTTATTAGTACTAGCATGCCCCTCATTTGAGTGCTAACTGCTCTGGCTTTCCATTTTTGGGTCATTCTAACAGAATCCTTGATGAGGCTAAGAACATCTCCTTCAATGCCACTGCAGCCTTCAATGCTTACAGCAATATTAAGGACAACATTGATGAAGCTGAGAAAGTTGCCACAGAAGCCAGAGGTCTTGCCCTTGAAGCTACAAAACTGGTAAGAAACAAATAACCTTATGTACTAAAATGAAGAGCAACATTTTGCACTACACTCTGAAACTAAACCTTGCAATCTTAAGTAAGCTCTAAAAAACCCCAGAACACTGGGACTTGTCTTGAAATATTTTTGAAGGCTTCTTTTAAGTTGTACACAAAATAAATTCTCAGTGTTCTGCAATCATACCGGAACTCTTTTCTCAGTCATGCCCTACTTATCATTGTCAGGATCTTGAAATCATCGGAAATGCCAAGCACATTTGTGCCACTAGCTCACAGAATCTTCCAGAGAGAAATGTGTCACTATTATTCCAAATGTCATCAGTTTTAAAAGAAAAGCCTTGAAAATTAATACCATTGCTTACAATCACACACAAGAAGTTTGACAGGCAAATGTGCTTTTTACCAAACACATCAAATCATATACTTTTAAACTATTTACATTATTTTTATTAATTGAAAAACTTCTAACCTATTATTACTGAAGTTGATGTTTGGAATGTATTTAGAACTAACAGTTCTAGAGTTTGGAGGTTTCAATTTATGTCACCTTATTTGAATATCATCAACAATGACGTATCTTTATCCTTTATATGTAAAGAAATATTTTGTAAATAAGTGGTGAGATGCTTGTTGTCTTGGTAATGCTATTTTAGATTAATAGACACCTTGCAAGAAGCATATTTTTAATTAAAATGGTCATAAGTATCACTTATTTGCCCCTTTGTTTCACACACAAGCTCCAAATATATCAGAAACTTAGAAGGAAAAGAAACCCCGATTGAACATTTGATTGTGAATGAAATATACATAAATTACGTTGTTGAAGAAAGACTGATACTTTCTTTGCTTTCAAAGTGAGCCAAAGTGCTATCTTGGGTCTCAGAAATATTAGTGATAATTACCACAATCACAGGTGGGGTGTTCTGGAATCAGGACAAAAATCTCACACTCTCCCAACAAGTACCACTCTTTTTGCTTTCTCTCGAACTCGCCCAGCCAACGTAATATGCTTATTTCTTATTCAAAATAGTGACAGCATCATTGCAAGAACTTTCCTGTGCTCAGTTATCTTTTCAAAATGCACTTACTTTTTAAATGTAACCTAAATTTTATTGATTTTTATTGAGAGTATTCTATTTTAAAGACTCTCATTTTCAAGTTCACCATTTTCATCCAATCTGTTTTATTGGGTGATCATTTCCAACATGTAGCCTAAGGCCTGGCAACTAGTGGACACTTGTGAATGAATGAATTTTGTTATAATTGAAACATTTTATGCCCATTTGCAATCTTTTGTATAAATAAAAATCTTGCTCTTGTCATCGTTTCATGCTCATAGATGTCTTCTAACGTTTTCTATTAAAGACCTATTTGATTCCACCCACACTAAGTGTTATCACTTTACCTGGAGGAAACCCTCTGTATTTTACTGAAATGAAATGTGTACTTACTTCTCCTGACCACTACTGCTTATACCTGATAAGCTAACCAATCTGTGATGAGGTGTCGTGTACTCTAACGTCTCCACTTATTCCCTTTCTCTTTCTACAAGCCATGCAGAAATAATTACGTCTGGAAAAGTACAAGGCGGTGCTAAAGAGAATCACTGATTTATTAAATGGCTATCAGCAAATTTAAAAAGACAGATCTATCCCAGGAAGTTCACTGGACTATGAGCAGAATGAATTACACTTTAATCTTCAGAGGTCATTCAAATATAACTAGATTTTTCTGGAAAAGAAATATATTCGCCAAACATTAAGTTGAATGAGATCTGGTATTATTATTAAAGTTACAGTCAAACACATGAGGATGCAATCAAAATTATTATTTATGAGAGAAGTCAAAGGATAGCAATATAGATGAGTCTTCTACTCACTGAGTCTGGCCCTAGAAAGAAAAAAGAATTTTATAATGAATTGGAAAGAAAAATTAAAGAAATAAAGTGTGTATTTGCAGAGTAAAAAGACCTATTACATAATCAAAAAAGTAACACATTACCAGAGTGAAGAAAACAGAGATAAGAAAATTTGAGAAGCCCAAATAAAGTATTGAAAATACTGCAGAAAAAGAAACAAATATATGCTAGAAACAACCTGTAAACATAATTGAAACTGCATTTTAAAAGCAACTTCATGTTTTAAGATTTACTTAAATCTACCTGTTAACACATACAGATAATTAAAAATGGAATTGAAAGAAAATATGAGAAGTTAAACTTTTATAAGCAGGAGAAGGCTATATACAATTTAACTTTGTAAGAATATTCTTATGCAAAGTATAACTGCTTGTTTTATGTATGAAATATTATTTTAAGAAATGAGGCATTAAGAGAAAAAGCTGACACTGTTTTCCTGTTAGTGTTGGGTGGGGAAAGTATTAAAAAGCATTTGTTTCCCTAAGTACAAGTTCCATGGAAACCTCTCATTTAGTACTTCTCTTTGGTGAGTACAGGAAAAGAAGAAAGGAAATGTGTCACTCTTTAGATAACACACTGTGATGAACCAGTAACTTCTAATTAATTATTAAACAAGTCATTGCTTTGATCCTTTGAAAAGACTATGAAAAGACCCTAAGACAACAGAAAAAAACATTTTTAAACTTCTAGGTCATAAACAAACTTGAAGCCTACCTGATCAACAATGCATCATATTTTACAAGTTGGTGAGCAAATAGATTCCACATGCTGTGAGATCCTATAAACTTCACACACGTAGCTAGCCAATATAATCTTACGGGACCATCATCACATATGCAATTCATCTTTGTCCAAAATATCATTATGTGGCATGTCACTGTATACAGAGAGACCTATATTATAGAGAATTGGCTCATGCAATTATGGAATCTGGTAAGTCTGAAATGTTCAGGGCATGCTAGCCAGCTAAAGTCTTTGAGAAGAGTTAATGTTACAGTCTTGAGTCCAAAGGTAAGCTGGTGACAGAATTTCTTCAAAGAGCCTCAAACTATCAAGACCTTCCTTCCACTGACTGGATGAGACCAACCCACATTATGTAATATGCTTTATTCAATGTCCACTCTTTTAAATGTTAATTGCATCTAAAATGTATCTTCTCAGCAATTCCTGGACTGGGGCATGGCCCAAAACCGGGAACAATAGTTACATAATTTTGTTACTTAACCACCAGAAATAGTTATACGTTCCATATACACAGAGTACAAAGATAAAAAGTGGAGAATTTTCAATTCTATAAAGGGCAAAAATACACAGAAACAATCAAAAACCCATGGTAAATATAAAACTTAAAATATGATATAATTAAATCCAAATACAGAAGTCAAGATTACTATTACTAGTTGCCTCAAGAAATGACTCCTGAAATTTCAGAGGCTAAGCACAATTTAAATTTATGTCTCACATCACAACTCAATGTGTGGCACACAACCCTTGTCCGTGTTAATATTTGTATCACACCACGTAGCTGCCAAGCTTGTCCTGGCAAATAAATAAATAAAAAGACAAAGAAAAATGAAACATGTCAGCCTTTCCATGTTGACTTGTATGGCCTGTACCATATCTGGTCTGACTCTATGTGGCCAAAATTAGTCATCTGTCCAACGTAACTAAGGGAGGTTGGGGAAATAGAAAGCACATAAAATCTGTGGTGAGCAGCAACTATCTTAGCTTCAAATTGTCTTTATACTAAAATGCAAAACAAATTAAAACTGCCAATTGGGTAATGATTTTCATATGGACTAATAATGTTTCATAAAAACTGCCATCTGTGTATGACTTACACAAAATATTGTGAAACTATAAAAGTGCAGAAGGAATGAACGAAAGTGAGAACAGAGAGAGCAGTGAAACTCTAATGAGAAGAAAGCTGCTACAGCACTCTTACAAGAATCACAATAGGCTTAACATTTTTAAAGAAGAGTTCATAGGGATAAAGAGAGTCATGGCAACAGAATAAAAAGAACAAGTTAGCAGAAAGATTAAAGAGTGGTGAATCTGAAAGGTCCTAATAACAAAGCCCAAGAATGAGTAAAGATGACCACATCCGAATGAGAAATTGATGTATCCACAGTGATAGATTTGACCATGTCTCTTAAACATTGTTAGGTCAAGCAAAAAAATGTCACCATGCAGATTTGAAAAGTACCATAAACATAATGGTTTAATGGCCTTATAGAACTTTATAACAACTAGATAATTAATCCTACATTCACCATTGGATAAAGTACTCATGAAACTTAAAAAAAGAGGCCATGAACGAGAGCACAAAAGAAATATCAGCAAACCCTAATGATCCAGTGGCACCTACGCTATGTTCTCTGATCACAGGGCAATAAAATTAGAAATGGATGCAAAAATAATGCTGAAAATCAGTTTTAAAATTAAAAGTACACTTCAAAATAACTCTGGAGTCAAAGAAAAACATAATTTGAAAATAAATCAGACACACAAGTTTAAATATCACACAGTTTTTCTTATATGGGATCCCAAATTATAAATAAAGAGTAAAATAAAAAATAGATAATAGGAAAGAAGGAGATAGATAAAATGAGAGGAGATGGAGGAAATAAAAAGAATTAAGATGTGCTGTACACATGTCCAACTCCCCACAACAAATGTAATAATTACGTACTGCAAACATGTACAAAAAATAATAATTTGAACAAAGGAAATTTTAAAATACTTAACAGAATCAAAATGAAGCTTCACAAGTATATGGCGTACAAATAAAGGAGCCCCACAGGCAATGTACAGCTTTACATACAGATTTTAGGAAAGGCTAAGAACTGAAACTAATGATCTGAGGATTATGTTCAAGAAGTTTAAAAAGGTACAATGAAAGAAATAAAAATAAATGCAGAAATTAATGATGTAGGGAAAAGAATTAGCCAAGGTTGACAAAACAGAAAGCTGGTTCTGAGAATAAACAGGCAGCTAAACAGAAAAGACAGGAATAATTAAGTAAACAAAGAGAGATGACACATACAAACAGGATCAGAATGGAATGAGGACCGTAACTA